AGATCTATAGACATATATATACACTGTAATATAGTTGCATAAGAGTAAATTAGTATATATTTTTTAATGTCTTTCAATAACTCAAAGTAAGTACCTTGTACTTATTAATCACTGTTAAACTCACGTTATGAACTTGAGTTACATATTATTTTTGTTTCAGACCTCCAGTTCAAGCCATACCGTACTGACGAATTTATTCACAAGCTCTATTACGAGACCTCTCGTTTCACAGCATTTGGTCACCAGTGGGTGGTGAAGGCTCTGGTGAATGACAGCCAAAGAGATCCCACCCAGTCTTGTGAACGAAGTCTAACCTATAACCTGGTTTTGAAGAGCAAAGTAACAAAGTAAGGTTTGAAACTAGAAAATGTCAGTCCCTACTTCACCTTTTCTTTACAGTATATTTAGTAGTTTCTTTCATTTCTTGTAAAATTTCCTAAATTCCTATACAGATTTTTGAAAAAGTAAACTGGAACTTTTTTCAATCACATACTCTTTACGAGTAAAGTACTTTTCTTTGTCCAAGAGATACAATACATGTACCAATTCTCCCTGTCTTTAAAATTGAATATTTTTACAGTATTGTGCTTACTGTTTGAAGGGCAAGTTGTGAAAAATTGTAAGAGCATGTTTGTATTTTTTAAAGTTTTTTCCATCAGTGAAATTAGTTTAGTGTTTGACTAATTTTTTACTTTTGTCTGTAGAGGTGTTGTGTGAAAAAACCTTTTTTTTTTTGTTTACCTTGGCAGTCCTCTAAAAATCCACTACACGATCCTCAAAGGTCCTTTTGGGGACATGAAGATAAACCCTCGTCTTTATCAGTACGAGTTCAGCGATGCAAGTGCTGAAAGTCCATACCGAACAATTTCCTTAGTGGATTCAGCAGAATGTAACAAACTTCTGGCTGCAAAGGCCATCAACTTTCGGCTAATTATGTTTCATATTTCCAAGTGAAAGTGTGGTTTCTTGTGACCAGTATATACATACCCCTAGGTGATTAATTCAGGGGCTTTTTCTACGGGTCTGCACAACATGCATGATCCGAGAAAGGATTTGAATCTAGCTCGATTACCTAGTTTTACTAAAAAATAAAGTGCTGTAAAGTATATATAGATCAATGTTATTGAATGATTTGTTGTTGTTTTTTTTTTTGCTTCACTCGTATGTCTTGTTTTTGTCATTCAATGTAATTTAAAATAAATCTCTAGGTATCTTTGTCACTTTAATCCACATTACACCATCATTAGTATCAAAAATTACCACTGTATTCTTTATCTTAAAATAGCAGTTTTGTTTCATTGTTCTAATACCAAAGCAGGATGAAAATATTTGTATGAGTGTATGGAATGTTATATACCTTATCTTACATATTTTTTAGGTGTCCTTGGTGTTAGAGAAGGAATCAAAAGTTTTGTATCCTTATTTGATGTGCAAAGAACTCAGTCTTCGATCTGTTTATATATATATCCATGTAATAGTGGATCATGGCATGAAAGTAAACAACAAATTAAATCAATATGTTATGTCTTGTTATAAATATGAGTACATTTTTCTAGGTTGCCTAGGCATTTGATGAATCAGTTGAAACAAAGGTAAGTGTTAAAAATTGTCAATAAAAAGTATTTTTAGAGTTAAAACCAGATTGATTTAAACAACTAATGTGTGTGTGTGTGTGTATATATATGTGTATGTGTACTTTAATTTGAAATTTAAGGACTATAAGCTCTACACTTATGAATTTCAGAAGTTAAGTGTGTGACAGGTAAGACTTGTCTAGGATTGTAAAAGTTTTAACAGGAGTTAGCGGGTCACAGGTAAGACTTGTTCAGGACTGTAAAAGTTTTAACTTCTGTTGTATGTTCACAGAACTAGGAAAAACCCCAAACAGTCACTAAAGTTCTGGTGTTAAATGCATAGAAACCTCACAAGAAGAAAAACAAACATACACTTTAGAATTAGTGATTACAAACACATTTGTAGTTATAACAATGAGTGTTGTAAGTGTTTGATGTCATTGTTTTCAACTTCTTTGTAATCCAAGTCTAGCCAAGTGTGTTCCGTGTTCATTTTATATATAGTTTGTTTTGTAGAAGAGCAGGTTATTCTTTCTGTATCCTGTTCTTTAGTGAAGCTGTTATGAAGTCAAGCAAATAGCTTCATCTTACTTAACCTACTTCAATATCACACACTTTAAATACTCGTAATTAAACATTTATTACAGAAGGAAAACATGCTTTAGAAACTAGTGTGAGAAATTTTTTTACACAAAATGTTAAATGAATGAAAAGGAACTTAATAAGGAATGAATAATTTCCATGTATGTCAATAAAAAATTTTTATTTAATATATTAAAGCAAAGGAAGAAAATAGTTTAATTTTTCGACATCAGTTTTGTCAACCATTGTATTGAAAACTGAATTTTTTTTTCATGTAAATATTTCTTAAATAAATTGAAAGCAGAGAATCTTGTGGTTTTCTTAGTGTATTTAGCAAAATTGTTAAATGTTTTTTATTGACAGTTGCTTGTGTTTATTTTTATAGCTAACCATCCTGTTAAAAAATATATTTAGTACTAGACAGTACTGTAATATGCATCGTACAATTTATTCAGAGCTTTCAGTTAATGTGGTGTAGTAAACGAATCTTAATTTTAAGCATGGTGAATACTTTTTGCTGGGGTTTAGATGTGCAGTGAAAGAACATCATTGACAAGTCCAAGATTTTCTGTATTGTAATAAAAATTACTTGTGCATAACAACTTCTCAAAGACAAAACTGAGGTTAATGGTTGATATTATCAACAAGACATATACTAGATTTAAATTTTAGACTGATGCTAATTCAAACTTTCAGGAATTATTATTGTAAGAGAAACTTTGAACTGTAAAAAAATATTAACCTCTATTCAAAGTAAGAAATGCCGCACCATGGTCCTGGTCACTTACATTGCACAATTGTTTGGTTTAATGAAGGGGAAATCGTATAATAAAACATTTTCACAAGAAATATGGTTAACTTTCTTTTCCATTGTTTATACATATATATAGTTTTTGGTGATATTTTTAGGACCCCTTTTGCTGCCTAATATACAATGATCCTTTTTTTTTTTGTAGTTACTGGCTATATTTATTTCGAAGCACATAAAGGAAAAAAAAAATTAATTTCCATTTTTAAAATACCTAAAAGCAGCTTTTTTTTTTCATTTTGAATAAAAAAGTTATAACATTTTTACTGTCTCTGGACCATACTGTCCTATAATTAGTGGTTCAATAAAATTTACTTAAATTATGCCCTGGCTCCACTGACATTTAATTACCAGTCTAGCTCATCAATTATTCATTTTAAAATCTTAAGAAAATTTTTTGAATTAAAAAAACATTACAAGGTAATTTTATCTTAGTTCTAAAGTGGGTTTCAGTTTTGTTTATCATTAAGTATAAGCTATTTAAATGAGATATTTTAATAGTATTTATAAGGAACCAACAATGGTACTTACAGTAATAAAGTAGAAAATAAAAAGTTAAGGACCTAACAATTTTTATTTTCTACTTTATTATTGTAAGTACCATTTATACAGTTAGGTCCTTAACTTTTTTTATTTTCTACTTTATTATTGTAAGTACCATTTATACACTTTTGTAATGTTTTATTGTCATGCAGTACAATCCATCTTAAATTTATAAAAAAACAACTGCAATAGTGCTGATAAAGTTCAATGCCTGTGACGTCTTGCTTTTGTGGCCTATGTGATTAAATACATTTGTATATCTATAGATGTTTTTAGTGTTATATCATTGTGGCCACGTATCTGTGTTATTTTTAAAGCATAGTAATATGTACTTATATCTGTAACTACATTCTTAAAGAGTTCTGTTCAACCTTTACAGATGTTTCTGTTATGACTCCTTAAAATAAGAAAGTATACTTATTGAACATTCTTGGTGTATTAAGATAACTTATTTTTCTTGGGAATTTTTAATTGATTCTTTCCACATACAAAAAAAAAGATTATAAGGACAAACCATTATCAATCCTAGCCATGAGGTTAAGATCAAATCTGTGATCACATAGTTAGTAAAATCTTTTGTTGTTGTACAGTTTTAGTAAAGCATAATTAGTGTTATTTAACAATATCATGTATTATAGCTAGCACAGCCATTCCTATATGCATCTGGTATTTAATGTAATTAGAAGCTCAAGTTAGAATGTGTACAGGGTACATAAAAAAAGTTTATAGCATCTTCACATTATCACAGGGGAAAATGAATTATTATACTGTACCTATCTAACACAGTAACGTACAGTATAAGATGGTTTGAGGGTCTGAATTTGTGATTTGATTTTGAACCTCTGTAGCATTGGTTATTTCTCAGGTGTAAAAGTTTGTTACTAGCACTTCTTGTATGTAGCTACTTCTGTGGGTTTATTATATCTGTGTAAACTGTGTAACAGAACATATTAAAAGTTTTAAGGATTTTCTTGCTACGAAACGTGTGACGACTGTGAAGTTAATTATTTAGCACATTCTCATACGTGCATGTGGAAATCGTACAACAGAGTTGCTATTACATGTTTTTTTCTCTTCCGGTGATGCTCTGTGGGACGGACTTCAAAAGAGTGTGTTATTCTAAGCACATCCACACTTTACAAGAGTCAAGTATGATTAAATGCTTGCTTCTCCTAGGCTCAGAATCAAACCTGGGACCTCTTACATGTGAGTTAAGTGATCTATCAATTAAGATAAAGGTCTAGTCCACTAGCAATTGGTAGTTGAGCACTAATTTAACAACTAATTTTTGCATCACCTGGGCTCGAGATTAAATCCTGGACCTTTCAGACACCGGGCAAGTGCTCTTCCAGATGTAACGGAAGGCCGTGTAGGCTAGTCATTTGGGGTTTGACTTTAATACCAGTTACAAATGAATATATAAAAAATCAGGTTACGTACTTGCTAGTAGAGTACACAAGTCACTAACTCGAGGACATTTATGGTTAGAATAAAGAACTGACGTGGAAACTGAGATAGCATACAACACTTTAATTCAAGTCTACAGTACCAAAACTAGACTGAAAAAACTTCTATATTAAATCCTTCATTCTGAACAAGCAACTTCTTCTCGATTAAACCCTCAATAATATTCATTACATGTGACAAAGCAAACAAATTATCAACCAGGGCATTACGTGACAAACATTTAGACATTGTCTAATTGTTGTATTCCGGTTAATTCTTCTGGTGAGTTCTCTCTTAACATCAAATTACACATTATCCTTTCCTCACTCCGCTGTTAGACGAGAGAGGGTGGCAATAACTACTTACATAAACGTTGTATCCTGCAAAATCTCAATAGATTGGAGGACTGCCATTCGTAGATTCTGGAGCCGTAGAATATTCATCAGAGAACTGATTTTTTATTCACATTTTTGTGTGTTAATATGATGATTCAACTAGCTAACTTTACGAGTAGATCTAATTGGCTTACTTCCACTGGTTATCGATTTAAAACCAGAACTAAAATGATAATTGGTCGAGAGCTGTTAAACAGCAGCTTATATGCATGTTATCTCTACACATCTTCTTAAGGTACATAAACTTGCATATATTACTCTCACTTGATATTTTCACGGTTAAAATTACAAAACATTATACTTTAATAATATCAATTAAAGAGGCTTTATATTAAAAAGAAAAAGTCATCTGTTTGGTACTCTTAATAAGTTCACTTAGACACAAATCAATCATCTGTCATTTCAGTCTAACCATCAGATGGTGAGGATGTGCTAATATTTCAATATAATTCTCAGGAATTAATGAATCACTTCAAGTTTTTTTTTTTATTGAGCAGTTTTGCTGACTATTTAAAAATGTACAGACATCCTCTCTCACAGTGTTGGCCAATAATGTGTATAATAATAACATATCTCAGTCTTCATTACAACCTTAATTAGAGTATGTTTATTCTATTGTTCCTTACTATAATGACAAAACACTTTAATATATTTACTCTAACTGGTAACTTATTAGCACATAATTTGCTGACATCACGAGAGGGCGTGCCATTAGTGCTTAGTTAGACTGGGAAAAGGCAACTAACCATAAAAATTTTATTACTGTTATATTTAAAAAAAGTCACATGAAAACCACAGCCAATATAAGGTCATGGTGGAACGGAATGTATCAGAACTACATTTTGTCAATGGTAGAATGATGCCACCAATAGTTGACCACTCTTGGGAAGGATATGTAACAGCACTTTCTGACAAACACATTCATACACTCAGATTATAAATGTGTTCAGATGTGGGACTTAGAATACATGAAACAGTGATATCTGTTTGACTTAATGACAGTAGTAAAAAAAAAAATGAAATGTAGATCAACTTGGGGAACAAGAACTATGTAGAAATAGACCTCCAAAAAGTTGTACTCCAGCTGTAGTAAGCAGAGTATGGAATTTTGTAACAGGCAAGAACCCACAAATACAACTGTAAGTAGCAAAAGCTTTACATGCATCTCAAGCAACAGCACACAACATAAGCAGGAGATATCTCCATCTGGAAAAGTGACACAAGTTACTTATATGACATATCAACTGGAGCTTTCTGTAACAGAATCTATGCTGCAGGGCTATTAACAAGATGTACAGTAAGCAAACAGAATATGAATGGACGTGCAACATAACTGTAAAGGCATGGTGAAGCTCCAAAATTTACTTTTAATTCGTTTTCTTGGTATTAAAACTAATGTTAAAATTTAGTAGATTTTAGTATTGTTACTTCAATTTTTTTGGCCCAATTCTGTCAGCTTTAGCTCTGTCCGATCCAAATCCTAGGAAAAACAACCTCCAAGTTTACGACTAAGCCTAATTCTGAGTTCAAGCATCTTCAATTCATACAATTACAAATTAAGCAGGTCTGATCAAATTCGAGCACATTGTAATATATAAACTGTTAGGTATTTTCTATAATTAAGTAAGATAAGTAACTATGATATAATGAAACAAATATTTAGCTTGACATAATTAAATGGTACGAGTTAAATAGGGTAATATTAAAATATAACAACAATAAATACTCTTTGCCTTCTCTGCTGTAAACTCACTTTACTTTATAACAGCTGACATATTGACTTATGGCGCCCTCTAAAACTAAAGATATTGGAAACGATTTGTTTGGTTGAATATATAGTGTATTGATTTTATCATTCGACCTATGAAAATCTATTCTATTTGATTTAATTTTTTTAAGGGGGGGAGAGAAAGAAAAATGGTCATAATTTTCGAAAAAAAAACATTAATGTACTTCAATAAAAGTTATGACACTTAACTAACCATGCTCTTTTTTTTTCTGAATTTCTTCGTGAATATTCATTTCTTTTGTAGTGCAGTACCAAGTTTTTAAATTTATTCATAAATATTAGGTCGTCAAGAAATTAATGACTTTTTTTTAGATGAAAAAAAAACCGAACAACTTATATATCAAAACATTTATTAAATGAAATAGTCTCCATTCTTATCGATGATGCTTTTCCATCTTACAATCCGGTTGTTAATGCCCTGATTAAGGGAATCGCTTGGCTTTGAAGCAACAACAACAACAAAACATGTTGATGTCCTCTTTAACACCTTCCACATTTGCATACGTTTTCCCATTAAGATAGTGTTGCAGAGAACGAAAAAGATGGTAATCTGACGGTGCCATATCTGGAGAATATGGTGGGTGAGGGAGAACTTTCCAACCCAACTCCATAATCTTGTGTTGCGTCAATTAACGAGTGAAAGGCGTTTCTGATGAAGGGCATGATTT